ACTGAGAGGAAGTATCATGTTCTACATGATATTGTCCGGCAAGAAAATGCACTTGTAGTTAGAACATTGCATTGGAACACAATTTTGTTGATCCATTATCAAAGGTGTCATTGATCAATAATTTTGATCATCATCTGGATAACATTGGAGTTAGGTGCAATTTGAATTGGCTATAAGGGCAAGTGGGAGTTGTTGGGATTTATATGCTCTGGCATAGCAAATTCCTATCTGGATTATAGTGACATATGTTTCTGACATATCTGAAATATTTATGATTTATATAATTGGTGAATTCAATGTATTATGTTTCGATTCACTATGAAATTGATAGTGTCTATGTAATTACAAGAAATATTTATATATATGTATGTGATGGCAATCAATGCATGATATATAAATAGTAATTATAAATTGTTCATAGTCGGTAATTATGGATAGACTCATAATTAATTAAGACTTGAACTGGATCCGCGTTAGGTTGAGATATATTGCGAGAGCCGTCGTATGCAATTACTCCCTATCACCGTCATGGCATTTGACTCTTAAGTATGAGAAAAGTATAGACTCTTTAATTAATTAATAATTACTTTGATTTGTTCGGCGGATTTTTCGGGATCCTTAGACCGACACTTTGGATAGTTATGTAATTAATAGTTAGAGGGTTATATTTTTAATATTTGCATCATTGTTACTTGTATTTATTTTGTATTGATTATGGTTGATCACAAAGTAAATTCGAAGGCCTTCGTGTGTTTTTAGACAAAATGATTTATTATATATTTATTTATTTAAATTATTATTTTTGTCAAACAAATGTTTTATTGTGATCGAGTTAGAAATAATCAAAGGTACCAAAATAAATATATTAATTAAGTAGTCGGATTGATGGCTATATTTATCCGATAACTAATTATGCATAGAGGGGTCAAAGTGCAATATTGACTTAGAGGTTATTTATTATTTAATTGGAGTTCAATTAATTTTTTTTAGTGGAGTAGAAATTAATTTATGAATTAATTGAATTGGGTATATGGACCGGGCCAATTATTAATTCATTGTAGCCAATAAAATAATAGGCCCAATGGATTCTCACTCATAGCCCAACTTGATATTGGAATCATATTAGATTTGAGACATGTGAATTAGAGATGGAGAAGGATTTGTTGTTTCCTTTTCTTTATTTTTATGTTGCCTATAAATATACATGGTCTATGTATATTTTAGGGGGTAATTTTTATGAGAAGGAAAAAGGGAATAAATTTTCTCTCTCTAGAAAATTAGGGTTTATGTTCTCATCTAATGGAGGTTCCCACAAGCCTAGTTTTCCAAGGTAATTCATAGAGGCTTATGAGTGATTATTAAAGACAAAATAATTACCAAGAAGATGGAGATCTAAGGAGAAGGCATCTTGCTAAGGGATCTACAATAAGTGAGAACATTCACTTTAGAGGAAAGTTTTAAAGGTTTACTCAGACCTTTGATGTAAGTATTCAATCCATTAATTGAATGATACATCATATTTTTATTTTTGCATAAAACTTATCTCTATGTGATGAATCAAGATCTATGAATTAAAATCCCTCGAAAAGTTTTTAAAACTTGCACGTTTCCCAACACTTGATTCATCAAAATTCAAGATTTAAGTTAGATTGGTGTCCAAGATTATGTAACAAAATTGAACATGAGATGGCCGGTAAATGGGTTTTTAGTTAAAGAATTGGTGAATTGCAGTGGCAAGTGCAGTATTTGTGATTGTTGAATGTATTTCATGAGGATCTTTTTTCCCAATGTATGTAATACTATTTGATTATTTTTTTATAAAAAAATAAATAAATAAAAGGGGGCAAGAACTAAGTCACACAATCTTTCTCAGCGGGTGTCCTGTTTACACTCTGAATATGTTTCTACTCTACATACACCCTCGCTCTCATTCTCACATTGCGTGACTTAAATTTTGTGCCGCTATATGTGACTTGGGGTAAGAATTTTGGCAAGGGAAATATGCCAATAACAAAGGGGTACAAAAATAGGAAGGAAGATGAATGAATAATAAGGAATTACCGAATTAGGAATAGATCAATCCCATATCAAAATCTGAATCACATCAACCGTATCCCAAAGCACTTGAGGGATTGACCTTTTCTTCAAATAATTTATACCAACAAAACTTTATTCCTTTAAAATAATTTATACCAACAAGGACAATTTTATACCATCAAAATTTCTTATCTTTTTATTCGTTAGGTTCTCACTTTTGACATGGTGAAGTTACTTTGGAAACAAAAGTGGCAGGAACAACGAACATGGCACATGAAGTTGAATTTAAATTTACCGTGACAAAGACATTATAAATCCTGTGTTTTTCACTTGGGATTGGAAGGAATATCTGATGATGGTAACATGTTTGAAATAGGATACTTTTATTTCCTTCCAACTTAATTTGTCTTGTCAAACAAAATTGCTTGTCAAATCCATCTCCATTGGTTTGGCATCTAGATGGGGTTCATATTATTCCACACAACTTGTTAAAATTGCATAATAAAAGTTGTAACAAGAAAGTAATTATCTGCTGGTCCAGTTTTAGATTACTCTTTCAAATGCTTTTACATCTTGGTTAGAATATATTCAAATTTATACTACCAAATTCATATGAAGAAAAACAATCACAGTGGATAATTGTATTTAGGAACATCAAATTGGCGTCTTAAATTTAAAATTAAACAAAATTTAGTTTAAATTTTGAATTGAGTTTTCTTTAATTTCAATCAAAATCAAAGCGTCAATTTGGTACTTCTAAATACAGCATGATCACCTTAGAATGAATTTTTTTTTGGACCGACACTCTCCTGTTACATTCGTGGTCTCTAAAAAACGAAAACCAACTATGCAACATCTACGTCAAGAATCCAAATATTGATATACATTGAGCCTCCATGCCAAGACATAATATGGGACAAAATTAAGGCCGTATGGGGTTGGGGACCAAAATTTTTTTTTCAGGTTGCACAGTGTTAATAGGGTCAAGATCTGAACTAGTGGTTTGGCTTCTTACACAGAAACATGTGCACCACGTGGTGGTGTTTCACTCTTTAATCCTTATCCAACTTGGCTCTTATTATGATTTAAAAAAAAAAAAACTTGGTTCTTATCAATTTCTAGGCTTTGTTGTTTTTCCTTCTGTTTTTCTTTCGCCTGAATTATGTTTGTATTTTTCGGTGTCAAAAAATACACACACACACTTGTATTTTTCTAAATTGAGTTGCAAGAATTTACTTGTGGGAGGGGGGGCCTATCACCTATGGGATTATGGCATCTGTAGCTACTAGCTAGGTATAAATAATTTGTGTACTAAAGTGGTCATGAGGAATCACGTGTTCTAGAAATTTTTGTATATTGATTGATTAAAAATATGTATTTTTTAAATTAAGGAATTGAATACGACCCAAATAAAATAAATACAAGAGCATCCTTTGATTGACACACACTTGAAAAAGAAGAATCTTTCTTTTAACTTAATTCTTTTCCTTTTTTTGTTAGAATCTAACTTATTATATATTGAACTCTATAGGCGTGTTACTGTCACTTTAACACTGGAAAGAAGTTGCTTTGCCGAATTGATACGTGTATACTAATTTTTCTTAATATATGTTTTTTATTTTTATTTTTTTGTATATATATATATATATAATTTTTTTTTGAATTTAATTCATAAAACCCCTTTATACTAAACTTTTTGTCGCTTTATCCAATCCATATGCTACAAAGGCAATCAAATTACCTCTTCCTATTAGTTCTCGGTTAAAAGTAAAATGTATTAGTTCTCGATTAATTGCCCGTGCTCTACATTTTGGTTTATCAATGATTAAAATGTCCTTTATCAACAACCCACTGCCAATTAAAGAACAAAAATATCATTTGCTAAGTATTATGTACGGTAGTTATATAAGAAATATATTTTATAATTAATTATTTTTTATATCTAATATAAAACACATAATATGATTTTAATAAAATATTGTAGGAACATTCATAATATGTTATACAATAAATATATAATATAAATTATATAAGATGAAAGAATAGTCTAATATTTAATAATATATATTATATATAATATTTTTATTTTATAACGTAATAAGACGACCATATAAAATACAAAGTAGAGACAATCATAATGACAATTAGAATATAATATATATTTATATATATATATAAAATTAACTTTGTTATTATTACCTAATATGTATATAATAGTTTTATAAATAACACATATAACATTGCAAACGATATAATCTATTATATTAAAAATAAACAATAATTTATGATAATTGGATAATTAATAAACTATATGTTTCGTGAATTTAGCGCTTAAATTTATTTATATAAAGAATGGCTATTTTGATAATTTTATCCATGATTTGAACAAATTACAGGGAGTTTTGATATATAAAGAATGACTGTTTTGGTAATTTTATCTATGATTTCTTGATGATTTGTTATCATTTGAAATTTTTTTATTATTACACTATACATTATTATTATTAATTTTCTATTGTATAAAACACTCAAAAATATATATATATCCAGGGAAACTATATAGCAAGTTACAGTAACTCCTGCTATTTTAGTCATCTTAGCATCAGCCCCACTTCATCATGGTTGACTATTTGACTTGATTATAAAGATAAACAAAGCAGAAGGTCGGTGCAGGTCATATAAGGTAGGCCCCACTTTTAACAACCACCAACCCCGCTTAATATTTCCGGTGAATAATGGGACGGTCACCACTAAAAATGTCACCCTCAAGTGACGTTATCTCATTATCCATTTAAAAACTCAATATAATATTCAACGTTAAGATAAGTACAATGTTTATACTATTAAAATATATAAGCCCATATATGTTGGCCCATTGGGCAGGTTAAGTTTTGGGCTCTTCGTGAAAGAAAGTGGCGTTATCCAAGGAATATGAATCATATAATAATAATATTAGTGTTTACAGATAAATAGATCTTTTTGAGTGTGCGAAGCTGAGACTCTGAAGCAAAGATAATTTAAAAATAAAAAATAATAGATAAAATACTCTCTCTCTCTTTAGAAATACTTGTGTTTTGCTGGAGGAGATTCGATTTCGAGAGTGGTTTTGATTGTTGCAGAGAGAAATAATGGAGGCTCAGTACGTTCGGAGACACCACAAGCACGACCCCAATGACAACCAGTGCACTTCCTTCATCTTCAAGCACATCAAAGCCCCGATCAATCTCGTAAACCACCTCTCTCTCTCTCTATATATATGTGTGTGTTTTTGTGTGTGTGATATGCATATATATATATATATCGATGTATTTGACTTTTTTCCGAGTTTATGTTCTGTTTTGTTGCTTAGGTAATGCAGGGAAGTGATGGAATTTTTTTTTGAAGATTTAGTTACTAAATTTGATTAATTTTATTTATTTTGTGGGCAATTGAACGGATTGTCGTTGTTTTTGCTTTTTTCCTTCTTGTGGTGACTCAGTTTCTTATGCAGATCTTAGTAACTGTGTTCGATTTTAAGTTTTCTTGTTTGATTTTTTTATGATATTTTGTAAAATTCGAGTCCTGAGGGTTAGGTGATCTCAGAGTTGGAGCACGTCTCTAGTGATGTGCTCCTTCTTTAATGGATATTCAGGACAATGATAAAATTTGTTGAAAATTGAGTTGATTTTGGTTGCCAAGAAAGTATGGGGAAGTTAAACGAAGTAAATTTTGTATCATCAGTTTTGTAGTTCTATTTGACTGTTTTGCTTAGTTGCGTTGAGTTTTTCACTTAAAAGAACCAAACTTTATAAAACTTAAGGTTGAAATTACTATTTTATTTACTTATAATTGATTTTCTCACCAACCAAATGGAGGGTAAATCATTTACTTATAGAAATCTGGTTATGATAATATTATGCTGTGTTCTTTTGCACGAGTTGTGTGGTCTCGAGCTTGATAAAAGTTACAGCTGCTGTAATGTGCTTTCATCAGGTTTGGTCATTGGTGAGGAGATTTGATCAGCCCCAGAAGTACAAGCCTTTCATCAGCAGGTGTATTGTGCAGGGTGACCTCAATATTGGAAGTGTTAGAGAGGTGAATGTTAAGTCAGGTCTTCCGGCGACAAGGAGCACGGAGAGGTTGGAACAACTTGATGATCAGGAGCACATCCTTGGAATCAGGATACTAGGCGGTGACCACAGGCTAAAGGTATTATTTTCTTTGCCTCTTCTTCCTTATTTACTTTGTTATGGGAAAAATATGTTGTATTTGAAACTAGTATAGCATGATTATAGAAGGGGACCATGATTTTGTTGCTATCTACCAAAAGAAGAAAAATGATATTCTTGAAGTACCTTGTCTTTGTAAATTGGCAAAAATTTGTGTTTTTGTCCTTTCAAGTATATGTATGTAATTGTACATGCGCTGTTATGCATTAGTGTAATCTTTTGATAAGTAAAACACCTTGTCTTGTAGGGCGCTAGGCAAAACCACTTGCATGTTAATGGCTACTGTAGGAGAAATGTGTTTAAGAAGATGTATTTGTGATCTTTAAGTAGTCAGTTAACTTTTCTCGTCCTGAACTTACTGTAGATTTTTTCGGATCCATAATACAAGTAACTAATTCTTCTTGTTTCTTTTTTAATTGAAAATCGGGCTGGTTAATTTTTGTGTTTAAAGTTCATCTGCACTGATCACAACTCAGTTGCATTATAAGCTTAAGAGATTTGAATTGCACTAGCTGCAAGTTGTTACTTGTTAGGCTTTGACAGTGTAAATATGCTATTGTTTTTTCTTGTCTGGAATGAAAGATTCACTCTTTTCTCTGTCGTAGCCATCCAAAGGAGAGTTGCTGTACCAGTTGTTTGCAACTTCAAAATTTGTTTGTGGCCTACCAAGGGCCTTGTGTCCTAGTTGTATCTCCTCTACCTTCCAAAGTGGATGGTGAGGGTTCGAGTCTCCAAAGGAACAAAGTGCGTGCGTGAGTGGTGTGTGTGTGTTTCTTTCCATTGAAAAAAAAACAAAAAATGTGGCTGATATCTGAGGATGATGACCGGGATTTTCCAGGTCGTATCTTTTGAGAAACTATCTTATCATGACATGTTGATCACTCGTAGTACCTAGGGAGATCAAATCTCTGGTCTGAATCCTTGCCGTTTATAGATCCATGGAATTTCTTTTCATGTTTATTGTTTACAGAAATCTGGATAGCCATGAATGTCGTCTTCAAAAAGGGTGTAGATCTTGGATTCTTGTATTCCTTGCTTCTAATCTTTCTTGTTGGAAGGCAGCTGCTTCTGCCCAACTTGAGTATATTTTGTTTCTGCTTTTGTTGAGGACTACTTTAGACCAAAATCTATAGCCCCACTGCCCTCGTCTGTAACGAATTGGAAGTGAAGTGTTGCCACCCTTCAATCCTTAAATTACAGTTTTCAACTCAAACATGAATTGTCGTGATCAAAAAGAATAATAATTATAATAAAAGATTAATTTTGTTTCTCACTTATTGATTAAAAGAAAATCAACAACAGTAGCTAAATTCCTAAAAACTCTGAAAATGAACATTGTTCCAAAATGGTATATTATGCTTCAGCTGCTTGGTGAATAGGTATGAAAAAAACTTCTTGTTACTGTTTGGTTAGAGAATTTTTACCGTCACCTGTACACTCTAGGAATAGCAGCAAGCTGGATGGCACCTGCGCTTATTGCTTGCTGCTATTGGAGGGTACTATGGTTGTACGATAAATTTTTTTTTTATTTTTTATCATGGGAATGGATATGGCAACTGTCTATGATACACCTTGCTTGGATGCCATTGAATAATAAAGCTTTATCTATCTTCCATGACTTTGTGCATTTTGATTATTTGACGGGAAGAATAATTAAGTGATTTTTCTGTTTGGTTTTCTTATTATTGTTATTGTTATAACCATAATCATCATCATTATTATTGTTACCTTTTCTATAAAAATCCCATCCTTCCAAGTTTGCAGAACATCAGAAACATTCCAACCTTGTTCCATTTTGTTACTTAATTTTGCAGAACTACTCTTCAATCATCACTGTCCATCCGGAGATGATTGATGGGAGGCCAGGGACACTAGTGATCGAGTCATTTGTGGTGGATGTGCCTGAAGGGAACACTAAAGATGAGACTTGTTATTTCGTTAAGGCCTTGATCAATTGCAATCTCAAATCCTTGGCTGAAGTCTCAGAGAGGATGGGCATGCAGAATCGGACTGAACCCTTCAACCGAGTCTGAGTCGGTGGGTTGCCCTGGTGGGTTAAGGCAACGGATGTTGTTGGACTTTGCAACATGATTGGTTGAGGCGGATCTTAGAAATTCTCTATACAGTCTCACTTGTAGCTTTACCACTTTCACTCTCCTTGTTATTTGATCTTACTCGTTTGTTTCCTTTCCTTCAAAGTGATACTGTGGTACACCTTTTGTTTGTAGGCTGAGGAGTTCATGAATGAGAAGAGAGCCGGATTCTCTTCCACTGTTATGTTCCTGAGTGTTATATATGCATCATAAATTTGTAAATATACATGTAAAGAGTGTTTGTCTCTATCGATCAGATCTTCATGTCATAGGTGTGTAGCTTCTAGCTTGACGCATTCAGGAGATTCAACTTTGAGAAGCTGTGTTTCTTTCCTGTGAATCTCGACAAGACTGGTGAAAGAACCACATGCATTCTTCGAGCCTAAACATTTTTTTCCTTTGGACGGTAAAGCAAACACACAAACACTTTTTTGCCTACATCGGGACTCGAACTCCTCCCCTCTTCTTTAAAGATGGGGAGGTTATATAATTGGGCCAAAGATCGAGCCTAGACATGAAAGTATTCATAAGTTCAACTTATGGTGAAGGAAACTGAGAGATAACAAAGAGCCTTGTATATTAATGTCACCAAGATAACATCTCTCTATATGGCTTATGATTCAACGGTAGGGCTTTAAAGTTATTTATTATGGTATAACATTCCTTGTGTTCACAATGCATTAAAATACTTGAGCCTCGATTGTAGCTTTACAGCGATATGGTGCCTTAGGCCTATGTTCATGGGGGGCTCAGCATTTTGGCCAGTTTATTGATTTGAACGGATTTGTATTTGTGTGTAGTAATTTCATTTTCCAACGAATTAGAGGGGCGACCAAGCAATCAAAAATTACGGTTTGGTTTAGTTCTTTTCTAATAATGGTTGTCATTTAATTTTTTGAAAAAGTATTTCAAATTTTATCATATAAATGAATTTGTAAATTACTGGGAGTAGTATATTCTCTTTTGCGGTTCCACGAGGACAAAATAAAAATAATTGAAAACTGACCAAACTGGTCCAAAACAAGCTGACGGTTCAGGTAACTGTCATTGTCAATGCCTTTCAAAAAAGCTGCCAAATCACAGAAACAAGTTGCAAAGGTTGCCATATCACCCATTAACTTTCTTACAAGTGTTACAGATATAAACAATGCCATTTCTTCGTACTCTTTGGTCGTTAAACCTATAGGCTCCCACGATATTGGAGGTTATTTGCTCCATTAATACAATCGTAAAATATTTTTCTTCTAAAATAATTTCTATGCAATTTTAGTTTATTTTATTTATTTATTTTTTATGTTTGGCAAAGATTTTGAAAATATTTTAGGTGTCTTGACTTCTAAAAGTATTTTTGAATGAAAATTAAAATTCTTATTTGAGTGACTATTAAATGGTCCAATTATTTTTATACCAATAATAATAATAATAACAATAATAATAATAATAATTTGACAAGAAATATAAAAAAATAATCAATTGATTTTTTAAAAAATAGTCCAAAACAAGTCTCTCTTAATGCAACAAGTGATTTTTATTATTATTATTATTATTATTATTATTATTATTATTTTGTCCTTTCCACTTTACATATCACTTTTTGAAGTTTTAGAAAGTAATATTAGTTATCCACTAAGCCAATAATGATGATAAAATAATAATAATAATAATAATAAAAGCAAATTGAAGAAACCAAAAATAGGAAATTGTATGATTGTTATTAAAGAAGAGATTGGTTTGATGCCTCTCACCCCATAATAGGTTGTAACGACCCGAATTCGTAGATCCGAATCGTTAGTCGGATCCTTAACTGAACCCGTGGTCAATTAGAGACAGCACCATTCTTTCCTATGTCAATATATATTATGTTTGTCATTCCGGATTTATAAAAAAAAAAAAAAAAAAAAAAGAAAAAAAACCCATCAAATCTTGTGGAGGAGCGTCGTCCGCCACTTGTCATCCGTGTCCTGAAAAATGTTAAATGTAATTGGGTGAGAAATTGCTCAATAGGTAGCACCTAAGACCCACCTCTTGTAATCCCGTGAATCCAAACAATGAATAGGACAATAAGGAATGGGGTCATACAAAGCCGGGAAAAAATACAATATACATTTTCAAGTCCAAAACAAAAAAATGTCGTGCAATGAATGCAATGTTATGCATGTCATTCCCCATTTTTCAGAAAACTTCCATCATTTCACAAACTGTTAATATAACCCGCCATTTGGTGACTCCGCAACGACACGAGAGAAAGGGCCCAAATAGTTCAACCACGCTAGGGCAATCTCCCTAATTCCCTCTAGGCTATATTAACATACCGGACCTTTGGTGACTCCGCGGCGACCTGGTTTTCTCAAAACCATTTCATCAAATTCTCCCCAAAAATTCCTTTTTTCATTCTTATCAAATCATTGTACCCTTTTTCATACCCATGCTATGAATGCAAATAACATGTCTTTTTAATACTACAGAAATGAAGAGAATTATTATCACACAATTAACCTACTTCCACATAAAATAACGACCCAAACCCGTAAGTCCGAACCGTTAGCCAGGTCCTTAACCGAACTCGAGATCAACTAGAGACAACACTATTCTTTCCTACGTCAATACATATTATACGTATCATTCTGATTTTTTTTAAAAAAAAGTAATAATAAATAAATGAGATTATAACTACAAAGTATGTCAAAACGGTCTACTAACCCATCAAACCCTGTGGAGGAGCGTCATTCGCCACTTGCCATTCGTGTCCTAAAAAATGTTAAATGTAATGGGGTGAGCAAATTGCTCAGTAGGTAGCGCCTAAGACCCACCTCTTGTCGCCCCGTGAATCTAAACAATGAATAGGATAATAAGGAACGGGGTCATACAAAGCCGGGAAAAAATACAATATACATTTTCAAGTCCAAAACAAAAGAATGTCGTGCCACGAATGCAATGTCATGCATGTCACTCCCCATTTTTCAGAAAACTTTCATCATTTCACAAACTGTTAATATAATCCGCCCTTTGGTGACTCCGTAACGACACGAGAGAAGGATTGGCTACTGTCCCTGACCTTTGGTACCTCCTCAGCGTCATATGGGGCCTAGATAGCTCAACCACGCTAAGACAATCTCCCTAATTCCCTCTAAGCTATATTAACACACCGCCCCTTTGGTGACTCCGTGGTGACCGGATTTTCTCAAAACCGTTTCATCAAATTCTCCCCAAAAATCTCATTTTTCATTTTTATCAAATCATTGTACCCTTTTTCATGCCCATGCTATAAATGCATATCACATGTCTTTTTAATACTATGGAAATGGAGAGAATTATTATCACACAATTAACCTACTTCCACATAAAATTTTCAATAATTTATTAAGCATCATAGGCATGAAAAAAATAACATATTAAACATACTTTACAATAATTCTTAGAAAATTTTCATAAGCTTCCATGTATCATTTCTAGCAATTTTGTCAATACAATAACATATAAAAATCAATAATGAAGCATGACAAGTAATTCTAAGGAAATTTCCCTAACCTTCCATATATAATTCTAACCAATTCAACAACATAATAAGTATGAAAAATTAACATTTAAACATACTTTCTATACAAATCCAACAATACACCCAATAACATGCTTCACATATCCAAGTAAATCAATTTAAAAAAAAAAATCAACTCAAATTAAACATACTTGACATGGATTATAGTAGAAAATTCACAAAGGTGCAAAAAAAAATGGGAATTAGAGACCCCTACCTCAACTAAGCCAAAAGCCCCAATTTGTGCCCTAGATCCCAACTCTCCTAGAGTGCACCAAACACAAAATTGCTCCGATCAACTTAAAGATCTCGTCATGGGCCTCAATTTGCCGCAAACGGCTTCTAGAAATTCCAAGGATTGGTGGAGAAATCAAGCTCTAAAGCTTTGATTGAAAAAGAAAAAGAAAAAGCAAAGTAAAGAGCAGAGAGAGCGAAAACCAGCGGGGAGAAGAGAGAATGGAGACCAAACATGGTCTCATGGCATTAAGTTAGATATTGGTGGGTCCCAGCATTTTTATTTTATTTTTCTTTTTCCTTTTTGTTTTTAATTTACACCACACACACACACATAATTACACATGTAATTTGCAATTACTCAAAACACAATAAATAAAAATAGATATGGTGCAAATGGACCAAATCAAAATACCCGTATGCAATAATTTCGGTAGCGGTCCTACACGGAACCGTCCGGCCCGAAAAACTGAAAAAAACAAAAATGATCATCCTTGCATTTCAAAGAGTCCTAGACTCAATGAAATGCCCCAATCAACTCTCGGATATAACCGGCACACTCCACGATGTTAGTTCGCACAACGTGAAAAGACAAAAATGCCTTTGCATGAACGAAAAATTCCAGAAAAAAAAAGAAAATGGAAAAATTCAGAAATATTACATAGGTATTGCGCTTATTGACTATTCTCTTAACAGTTGTTTTGTTTCTGGTCACTATAGCACGTGAATGTCATATTTGAAAAAATTACAACATTACCCTTGGAAGTAGATATTCGGACTATTATGCTCCTTGTAGTAGAACTATGGACTATTTTGCCCTTGTGATGATTCTTGGACTATTTTGCCCTTTGAGGGAGAACCTTGGGCTATTTTGCCCTTGTAATAATTCTTGGATTATTTTACCATTTGAAGAAGAATTTTGATTGGAATGTCCTTTGTAGTAGTTCTTTGACTAATTTGCTCTTTGTTGGAAGTCTTGGACCTTATTGTCCTTTTGATGTAACTTTCTCCAAGCAAATTTGTGTTCACACTTAAATCATCTAACCTTTTATATTTTTATCTCACTCATTATTTAACCTATTATATTTTTATCTCACTCACTAAGCATTTAATCATTAAATTGCAAGAGTGAGTTTTGTACTACGAAATTTGCCAATTTCAATATTAGAATTACTAAATTCCTAACAAAACCTTGTTGATTTCACACTTAGTTTTCATATATATATGTATATATATGCATGTATTTACGTGTGTGTGTATACATATAGCATTGGACTTGAGAGAATCAACCAAGTGCCTTGGACTGAAAATGGGGTGTGAAGAAAGTGCAATAGTTGGAAAAGATGAGAACTTCTTTGTAATTGCAATTTACTTTAGAAGGTTCAAAAGGTCTTTCACTTAAACAAACGGCAATATTGGTATTTTAATAAATTTAATGCATGGCATTAGCAATTTTCGTCGTTGAACAACTTTGATGGTTAAAAAAGGATATCTGTGTAA